CCACCCGCGCCGTTAGCAGCCGCTGTTGCTGCTGCTGCTGCTACTTTCAATCATTGAAAAAGTTCGTCTGTCTCGAAAACTCATTTCCCCCCTCTTTTTTTCAATTTACCCTCGGGCCAATCGTCTCTGACGGTGGAGAACGAAAAAGGCTCGACAGTAGATCGCGCGGGGCGGAAACGGAGTGGGTGACGATCGAAAAGTCTCGAAAGTTTCGAGCTAATTTGATTTATCGTCGCAGCCACTTGAGATTCGCGACCCAGCTCGTTCCACCCCTGACTCGGCGTCCTCGTTGCCGAAGAAATTAGGAGGGGTCAGGGATGGGCTGGGTTAGTTAGAAACGAGCCACGATCGGTCCCATGCCGATGGAATTTATTATTGATTTCACCATCTCACCAACGTGAAGCGACTGAATACGATTGATAAAAGACACCCTTGACTTTCTTCTTCTTTTTTCTCTATTATTTCTCCCTCTATCGTGACTTTCACTTCGATGAGAATCGAACCGAGAAGAATAGACGCTCGGTCGAACGATGCGACGGTTTCGTCCAATCTTTTCAGTGTCCTCGTCACTGATTATTAAGTCTCGTTGTTCTCTGTGCAACTCGATTATTAGACTCGACGCAATAACGGTACAATTCTCTAGCATCCCTCGCGCTATTTACAAGTTCGCATAAGCCTTGTGATTGTATAACATTTTTTAGCAATTTTCACTTTCAACCGGTTGCTCTTTATCCTTCGATTTTACAGAAACATCAAGAGCAACTGCGTTGCGAGGAAGACGCCTTGGAAGAGGAAACGGATCGATGTTTTCTGACGTTCGTGAATCGCCGTCCGCGATTATCATCGCGTCCGTTTGAAGAATAAAAAGCAACGGAATGGATGTGAGCAGACGAAGCGTCGGCGGATGGACTTGCCTAATCCTAAGTAAACGTTGCCTCCTTTACTCGCAACTACCTGTCTGATCAAACATTTGTCTCTACTACTCGGTTGATTAAGCGCCCGCCGAGTTTATACTGCGTTCTAGCCTTCGGTCGAGAGGGCACAAGACGACTAGGGTTGGACAGGGGATAAACAGCCGAGTAAGAAATCTGAAGGGCGTAAGCTCGATCAGGCGAATTCTAACAGGAGGGTGGGAATGAGAGGAGCTGCGACGTGAGATACGCGGAGAAGATAAAAAAAGGACAGATGATTGGTAAAGGTAAAAAGGTAAAAGCGATGGGATGGACAGAGGTAAAGGGAAGATTGGTCAATAAAACAAAGGATAGAAAGAGAGAGAATCAAGGGACTGATGGAAGAAACGAAGGTTCGTATGGATGATGTAGAATGCTGAAGAGTAAAATGAGAAGAGCAAAATGAGAACGAAGAAACGAGGTTGAGTGCAAAGCGAAAGAAAGGAACGAGGAAGGTGCGGATAAACTTGTTAATCCACAGGCCTTTTGCAATATGCCGGTAAGAATACAATTGTATTCTTTTGTAATAAGAAGCAAATAACAACTAAGACATTTCTTTTTCTAGAAATTCTAAATTTCTAATTCTAGAATTTTCTAATTCTAATTCTAATCTTCTGAACAGTAATTTCTAGGAATATGCAGTAGAATAGGACGCACGACAGAGAAGATAGAAGTTGTTTAATCGTGCAGAAAGCTGCATTCAAATAGGAACGTTCCAGAAGAACACTTTTCTTCTGGAACATTACTATCGTGCCCGAAGAGAAAATTATAAGCGAAAAAAACGCGTGTAGTTGAAGGTAAAGCGTAAGATAAATATAAATGCAGGCGGAATAAGGAGGAGAAGTCTTACAAGCTATATCAAAGGAAGGGATCACCACGAGTAAAAGGTATACGAACAGAGGGAAAATTAGATGGAGAAAGAAACTGGAGTATAAAGAGACGTACACTGACAATTGAAAATGAGCTAGAAAAAACGAAAAAACGGTATGAAGAAGCTCTTCCCTCTTCTCTTCTGGTTAGTTGCTTTTAATTTGAAGCGAACGAGGTAGGAGGAGGGGCGAAAGAGCAAGAACTTGATTCTTCTCGTCAATAGAAAAGAATCGGTTTAATCGGACGGTAAATGGCGAATATACGTTCCATCTGACTGGCTATAGCTTTGGAATTTACTTGCACGATTTACGCTTTCTTTTCCACAGAACGTATGTTTGTGCGAAACGATTTAGCTTCAGCAAATACGTGTCGGTTGTTTATGCTACTCGCACGTTGCTAATTTATCACTGTCTTCTCGTTGCTTTCGACCGATGTTGCGGATTTCCGACGATTTCGCGTCACACCCTCGGTTTCTTCTGCAGTCGTTTAGGTTTCTCAGTCTTCTGCCGGCCTTTCGCTTAGTTCGTCGTATTTTTCAATTGTCGAGCATTGCATAACGAAATCGCCGATTAATTATACTGGTCAACGAAGCGCGCACTCGCGCGACAGAAAATTAAGAATTGTTTTAGGATTGAAGGCTTTTATCCCGCGGTTGAATGGTACAGATTTTAAACCGTTGTATTTAATCAACGATTGTCAAGAATTAGTATTCAGCGAGCAAAAAAAAAAAAAAAAAGAAAGGCGTGTATTGTGCTTGAAACGATAGAAAGTTTATTGGTGGAAGGCACGAGGACAAATGAAAATAAAGTCAGCTTTTAATCTGTGAGTTGTGAAATTGAAATGGAACGTATCGATCGGTTCAGCAAGCACGTTCTTTAAACTTTCTATCTCCCAACGATATATTCCGTTCATCAAGTATCTTTCATTAACAAATTTACCGTTTATCCAATTATTAGAATCGTCTTGAGGCAATGTTCTTATATTTATACTAAATAAATAAAACTTTCTTCTATATTCGGATAGCGATATAAACGAAAGAGATCCGTTCCTCTGGAATCACGATTTCACGGTTACGAATTTCGCGAATAAGGATATCACCGAGAAATACGCAGAATGTCGCGAATGTAAACGACCGCATCTGCCCGGAAGTAATCTCGATCGCGTGCATAAAGTCGCAAGTAAATACGTACAAACCTCGATATTTAAGCTCGGCTCGACTTCGATTCAGTAAATATTTGTTTCCGCTGCAGGCCCCGTTGCTGGATTATCTCGGAGTCCGAGTACGCTTTCGCTCTCGATAAATAACATCGCGATGAAATACGAGATTCTTAGGCATGCATCTTAAGTGTTTGCAGCGTGCTACCTGCCTTACATTGCTATCGTTTGTTCCTTCCAAGATCGATATTTCTTGCGTCATTTTGCGTCTCTTAGCCATTTACAATTATTTCTCGAAAAAAGAAACGAGTTCCATGCAAACTAGAAATTAAGCTGAAACGATAGAAAGCTCGTTTCTTTATGATCGTAAAGTGTTTAGCTTTTAATTGAACGAAGGTTTGGCTATCCTTGAGGAAAACATTCATAGTATTTTTTTGGAATCCTACTTCAGCGATGCAATCGGAATTTAGAAACACGATTCGCTATACGACAAGATATAACTCGCAAGGAAGCAAAAGATAGATGTTTCGTATTGCAGTCGAAAGAAAAATACTTACCGCATTTGCCTTGAAATGCCACCGTGATATTAACACCCTTCGCGCACGCTGCCTTGTTCAACTCGCAAAGAGACGGATAGTCGGTCCCATCTGTGCCGCAGACAGGGCTCGATCCTTCGTGATCCCCTAAATTCGGACAGGATTCCAAGCATTCACAGGAAGCTTTGCTTCCGTCTCTGCTTCGTACGCATTGCGCACCCTGAGTACAATTTAGTTTCGCACACGGGTCCTTGATTTCTGTAACAAAAATTGGTGATGTCGTTGAATTAACAATTGTTCGAACAGTCGTAGGGCCATTGGCATTCGATTGAAACAGTTCGACGAGTAAATATTCGAACATTAAGCGAATGTAAATTTCTCAATTACCAAATTGCATATTGATAATCGCCTAGTTATTCTGAATAATTACAATCTTCCACCAGAAAGGGAGATCGTTAAAGTTGCTGAAGCAGGACAGGAAAATCATCTTGCGAGAAACAATTTGACGAATAGGAAGGATGGCGATGGGCACGTTTAATCGATAATTTTTTTACCGGCATCACGGTCGTTCCGACATCAAATGTAATTACAAACCGTAAACATGGGGCGCGTCGTAAAGCGGCGTGAAATTAAATCCGCGCGATTCACGATGAATAAAGTATCGTCTACCGGAGGATTTAGCCAGCGTGATAAAATACAGCGTACGAACCGTGACCGCGCTCGCCGGCCCTCGGTTCTCCTTTCTTCTCGGGATTTGAACAGATAAAAGCCGTCCACGAATATTCAGCCGCGGCTAAGCCGGTGAAAATTTTTAATGGAACCACTGGCGAAGGAACAGAGAATAGTAAGCCCAATTAAAACGTTCTTCTCGTTCGCCATAGCTATGATATCATGGCCTCTTTCTGGTAGAACGACACGAGACACGGGTAGGAAAATAGAGGAAAGAAGTAGCTTGTTCTTGTAACCTGGATAAAAGATGGTTAATGATAATAGGAGACTATATTTTGAAGGAGCGGTACATTTGGCTTTTGTGGAGTATTTTAGAAATAGGTTGCAAAAATAATTTATTTATGTTAGAATCGTTTAATTTGTTTGTGATATAAATAGAATCGATTAAAGTAGCAAGAAATTGAAATTCGATCAAAATGGATAACGCAAAAGGAAGAAAGATGAAACTAACATACACCGAAGAATAATTTAAACGAAAAGTTTTAAAGAAAAAGATATTTCTCCGTCCATCTTCTTGCTTATACGACAGGAGAAAATGCTTTCTTAAAATTTACAAAACCCCTTCTTCAATTATTTCTATACGTTTATTGTTTTCTTTCATGAATGAGAAATTAACCCGTGAAATTATTTTTGAATATTCTACTTCACGGAATATTCTCAAGTTCGTGACAGTGCACAAGCCTTTCTTCCGGACCTTCGTTACGATTTTCGACATAGAGCGTCGTCGTTACGCTCGTTATTTGCGTTCAAGTACCTTTTGGAAAAACGTAGCAACACTGGGATATCGTCAACACTCCACACAGTACCAACACGGCTTTTCCTAGCATCGTTCGTCACCTCTTCCGTTGCCTCTTCTGCAAATCAAGCCGACCACCATTCATCTCTCATCGTTGTTACGTCATGCGTTTCATCAGACAACCTTCTTTCCATCTTTGAAAATAAAGGACAGTGGACGAGCTCGTATCAAATGCGAATGTGACATCTTCAACATTCCGATGCTTGAGAATTCTTTACAGAATATGTACAATAACAAATGAAACGAACCATGTCGAGCACGATTCACAGGTCCAGTGTCCTCGCATCAGCAAAAATGAAAAATATTTTCAAAAATATGCCGTTAATATAAAGCTCAAACAGAGCAGAAAAGAAATCAAATTCCTCTTCAATCGATTTGAAAGAAGCATAAAACTGGACGAGTTCTGACATTTAACTACGAATTCTTACATTCCTCGCGTCGACATATTGAGCACACTGAGCACACTGAGTATCTATCTTTTTTAACGCCCTATTTTCTTTCTATATTATGTTTTATTTTAAACAAAGGATCGTATAAACGTGATAATTTAAGGTTAATCAAATCCCATAAGCGGCAATCAAGATCATGTTATTACTACTCAGGATCGCACTTAAAGATCACAGAAAATAATCGAGGGCGTTAAATTGATATTTAAGATGATTTGAACTATCTCAGGGGATTATTCTGTTATCATAAATATACGTTTGAAGCTCATCGTTCTGTGCGAAATACACACGTTGAACCGCGAGTCGTTGACACTAGGTCCAGCGACGATCACCAGTAGTGGCAGTAAACGTTCACGCCGCCGTCGAAAGCTAGTAGTTCGGCCGGATGATGGATCGCAGCCTCGTTTGCATTCAATAACTCCCGTCCTGGTGTATTTTCGATTTACCATTCACCGCAACCCGATTATCGTCGTTAACGCATTTAATTCGTCGGCCACTCATCGTCGCGCCGCCGTTCCGATCGATGCATTATTAATTATCGGTATGACAAAAGCAATTAGTGATCGGTTATCCAACCGGCGAGGACGGTGCCGTTCGATTTGTCCCTTTCCGTCCGTGCAATCTTCCTAATGGAACGAATTTTCCTAATGTAACGTTGGCCAGAACCTAATAAATCGGGATGACGAGAACCTGGCCTTTTAGATATTCCAACGAGTCCGAAAATGCTATCGCCAGAATATCGTTCAACATTTTCGCAATAGTCGAATGAATTTTACACCATTTAGGGAATTTTTGCTTGGATATTATTGCAACCATATTTTTCATCCAAGGCATTTATTGTATTTTTTTTTCTTATCATGCGTATAAAATAGACGATTGAAATTTCAGTACATACGTGTAGATAGTTTCTACGAGTAGAAATAAATAGGAATGTTCTATTCTGCGATACGAATAGATTTAGCATTGATTAAGTAAATATTTCGAGGAATTAATTAATTTAATTTGTTTATTTCTCTTGTCCCCGATACTCTTACCCCTTCGGTATAGTCTCTCGTTTGCATTAACCGATTTGCCTAACGTTCAAACAACTGCCTTGATCTAACTGAAACGTTTCTGCGAACGTTTCACACGCACGAACGATAATGCAAACACTTTCCAAAGGTACTATTTGTACAGAAAACATCTTTAAATAAGCATGGAAGAAGTTCCCGCTCTGTTCACTTCTCGAAGGCTGGCAAGAAATTTTGATAGGATCAATTTGAAAGTTAAATTAAGCTAAAGTTAAAAATTTCTACAGCGTTTATTGCTTCTGCGTCTGGACTACGAACCAACTTTCCTTACATTTTGAAACTTAATTATTCAGTCGGTAGAATGAATTGTACAAAAGTGTCGACCGAATAATTTATCGTTCTCCATAAACACGTATATGTTGAACAAAAGTAAACGCAATTCCTTTCCGAGAAAATATTGTACAAATATTCGTCTACTATTCATTTCTTTGAAACTGCGAAATACCTGAAAACAAATGGCGTATTCGAATGAAAAACAGTCTGGAACTTTTTTCGGTTGCCGACAAGCAGGAACAATCGATCAGTATTTAAATTTCCATCTTTTTTCGGCCATACGGATCCAGCGTTTAATCCGCAGCGTTTGTTCATTTAACGGTTGGAAGATTAACATTCCGTACAAAACTATCGCGCGACCATTCAGTCGAACGAAATAACATCGGATATCAGTTAGTTGCATACGGAATAGAATTGAAAAGCCAGCTTAATCGAGCTCGCGAACCAATCTTGTACGAATGATGGTTGCTATACGATCATGGAAAATTGAATGACCGACTCAGACGGCGGAAAGTATAACGGAGCGTGGTATTGAACGTGTGATTCGTGATCTCTTTGTTAACTTTACAGTTGTCATTTTCGTTGCAAATGTTTTGCAAATCCGGAAATTAAAAACTTCAGAAGGCTTCGGATTTTTACTCGTTCCTTGAACTGCTTTATTTAAACTTTCAATTTCAAAGCTGATTTTTCGAAAAATTTATTTTTCCCAATTGCGTCATACCTTGCATACTTGCTGTCCGGCATATGTACGATAAATAATTCATCGAAGTTTAATATATGTGATTTGAGATTAAATAAATCGAATTAATAATTTGAAAAAAGAAGAACCTTGATACAACCATTCGAATTTGCAAACATTGCGTCGCACGATAAACGAATATTCCATCACTGACGCTGTCTTCAATTTCTCCTTTATGAGCTACATGGAAATATCCATCTTAAATATACCGGTTCTGTACTACGACGATCGAATTTCGAGCGCAAAAAAAACCTCGTCAAAGTTTCTCTCTCTCGTTTCGTTCAGCCTCTACCCACAGGGGGCGACGTGATATAGTAATTAATAATCCATTTTGTCGGTTTTTGCCGGAGCACCTGACCGTCGCAGCTTGCTGTTCGCCGCTTACGGATAATTTATTATCAGCGAGCACCGCATTACTCCCGTATACAACCGACGCACAGGTCGTCGAAAAGTCTGTCAAACGTCGATGGCCATCGCCCAACCTTCCTGTTTTCCTTCCTGTTTTCCTGCCATTATGTTTACTCCGTGATGGAACTGCAATTATTTATTCTATTGCATTTTTGACGAGATTTGTGTATGTACGCGACTATTCAATTTTAGATAAATCGTTAGCTGTTGATCAGCATACGGAATAACACGATGTATGAAATACACAACCTGTTAAGTTTTGTGCATATTACGAGAGTTCGAGCTATATGGTACTTTGATTATTATGTGAAAACGATATGTCTGTATTTGTGAGGTCCGCACGCCTAATGTTTATTTTGGATTAAATAGCGATAGAATATCTTGAAATTTAAACATTTTTTAGTAAAATAAAAAAAATACTAAAATTGTGGAAAAACATTAAATTTCCAAACTATTCCCGTTTTATATTAAATTTGTATAGCTATTTATTTCTGTATATTCATTCAGGAAATAATAATGATAATTAAAAGAAAGATTCTTCAATCTTGTTCGCGCATTATACCGTAATAACGATCAACATAAATATTATATCAATATAAGCATGTAATATATATATATGTGTGTGTGTGTGTGTGTGTGTATGTGTATTCAGTATTTGCGTTTATTTTACATATCTCCGTTTTAACTCTGGTAAATTACGAATAATTTATCACGTTTCTATTTGAAAGAAACCCGATGAAATAAGCAATAACGAAATCACTCGCTAATAATTTTCTGTTGTATTTTTATCGACCTCG